CTGACTGCTAGTTTTAACTTCTTAGGTTTGGGATCTTACCCACTTGCCTTTTGCTGAACAAGAGTTAATGCTGATAAAGGTTGCTGTGAATGCTGCTGCTAGAAGAGATGTACTTAACATTGCCAACATTTTTAGGGGCAAGGCTGTTGATGTGTCTGACCACACAGTGACTCTTGAGGTCAACATTTTTAAGCATTGAGTTTTGCACAACATTATCATATTATATATCTCATCTACTTCTTTTAGGAAACATAATTCACAAATTCGAAGAATTTGATATTTTTCTTGAACATGCCAATTATTTTACCCCTGGTCTTAGCTTACTTTGGCTCTTCAAACTTTCAACTGTGAGAAATGCACATGACAAAGTGTTTTAACTTCATATCAACCCTTAGCATGTGAAATTGTGAACCCCTTTGTTAAGAAAGCAGAACAGAAGTTTTTTATGGTTGTTAAAGGATCCCTTTATTAGTGTTCTTTAGCTTCCCAAGGGTCATTCTTTAGAAAAAGTCTTCTGCCACGTTAATGAAAGGAGAGGAGTGAAGGAAAAAAGAATTTATTATTAGGAATGAGTGACAAGTTAATCTTTTTGATTGATGATACTGACAATTTAGGTTTAAAATGCTTGCCACAGCTTATTGGAGATCTGGACAAGATGGTAACTATACAAAGACTGCTCGAGCCCTGCAGAATTTGCGAGGTTTGTTTTCTTGTTTACAAATCTTTAACGAGTGATAAGAGTCAGTAGTCTCATCTATAGAGTATAACAGTGCATTCTATCATTTAGCTTCCATGCCTAGCAGAAACTTCATGATATTTATTCTGCAGAAACTGCATGTTCTCTGAATATAGGTAGCACGAACAGGACGTGTGGCATTGGCACGAGAGTTAGGTGTGGATTCTAAGTATCTTCGTGGATATTCACTTCCTCTTTAATTCGAGACTTTTTGGGATTGCTTTCAATAGGAATATTGACTCTTTATAGACAGCTTGCGAGCATGAGGATTTTATTTTTATTTTGCATTACACTTATGTTGCAAGTATTTTAAAATCTATAATATAATTGTTTACACCTAAAATAAACCAATAGGGTAAGGCCACATATCAGGGTAAAGCCCAATTATCAAGTAAATCAATAGGCTGGATTTGGGCTGGGCTGGCTTACAATTTAACGGCCCAGACCGATTTCCAATGAGGTTGGATCTTAGGTGGCAGAAGATAAGATTGGATCTGGTAGTTTGAGTTTGATTTAAAATGGGAAATTGAGGATTTTTAGGTAGTTATCTTTAAGGTTGTTGGAGATAAAGTTAAATAAAAATCAGATAACTATTAAATAACTGCCAGACCTGCAATCCCATTACCAGATCATGGAGGAACAGTGCCGAAAATCGAGGAACAGTACCGAAGATCATGGAGAAGATCATGGAGGAAGTTTCCAGCACCAAAGAAAATAAAAACAGAGAGAAGAGAACAATTCAGGGCCTGCCCAACACACACAGAGACTGCCCAGAGCATGTTTTTCAGCTTTTAGACTGCATTTTCCAGATTTCAACAATAGTTCCCAGATTTTCCAGATTTTCCAGATTAGTTCATAGCCTTAGCCTAGGTTTGTTCATCATATTTTCTCCCGCAAATTCCAATTTAGATTAGTTTTTAAGCATTTGGAAGCAACTTAGCCTTCAAAACAGGTCTGCCCTTTTGATTCGGTTAGTTTTTCTTCTTTTTATGGATTTAGTTATGTTATTCGTTCATGTAAATAGGTTGAACATTTTCTACCTTTATTCTTTTATCTCTGCACAATATCCAGACATGTAGTTTATTTAATTTCAATTTCCAGATTTAAATTTATAAGTTTCCAGACTTTAATCATTTCATAGTTTCTTCTTCAGTTTTAGTTATCATTATGGGTTGCGTAGTTGAAATCATTGTCTGTTATTTTACTTTTTCTGTTGTCTGCGAATTTAATCTTTATGACATGTTATTTTCTGTCATTTATTTCATGTTAGTTTAATTGCTTTAGGATATTGCATTTATTTTAGGATTTGTAGCTTTTATTACACTTGTTTGGTTGTGAAGTCCTTGGAGGTTTCCAAGGTAATTAGTAATCCATTTTGCAGAACTCTACCCTCTGTTTTGCAACGTCGTCTGGGTCGCAATTTATTTCACAGACGTTCTTTCCAGTCATCCTTTTGGAGGTCAACCGTTGGAAAGGAGAAGGGTCGTCTGGAAAATCCTGTTTTTCTTGTTTTTAGACAAAGCAAGTGGCACGCCTAATAACCAAACTCACGTGGTAAAGGTCGGTTGAGGATTTTTGGGGAAACAATCCTTTGTTGGCACGCCCAGTGGGATCAGCAAAGTGTATCAGTTAAAGTTTACAGACCCTCTGTTTATACATCCAGAAGCATCTGGAGCCATGCCACCGAGAAAGAGCAAAGACAAAGAGGTTCAGCCAACCCAGGCTGACCATGCAGACGACAGTCCACTCCACTCTGAGGGCGAAAATGATCCCATCACTTTTCTCCCAGTGTCACCTCTAGCAGAACGGTCTTATGGGAATCCAGTGTTTAAGGAGAAAGAAGCAGATCGTGGAGGTGACTTTGCTGAATCAAGTAATATGTTTAGAGGTATGATGGAACGTCTGGATTTAGCATTCAAAGAAAAGAACCAAACTATGCAGAGGCTGGTTGAGAGTCAAGCAGAATCCTCCAGACGTCAGGAAGAGATAATCAGACAATGTATGGAAGACATGAGATGGGTCTTTGAGGAAGGCACTAGGGTGATGCGAGAAACTGGGGAAGAAAGTCGCAGAACACTACAGGCTGTTTCAGAACAAGTGGTTGAGCAAGTGCGACAGCCCAGACCTGAGATTCCTCCTCCAGTCGTTGAAATGCCCAGACAGATTCTGTAACACCCCACATACCTTAGTGAATAATTTAAAAATTAGTTTCCTTTAGTTTATAGTTTTAGGGACTAAATTGATTGAATTTAAAGTTTGGGGGCTTTAAGTAGAATTAAGTAGAAGTTGAATGACCATAACTCAATTATCCCAATTTTACTTACCACATGGCATTTTCCCAACCAAGTTTTTTTGGTCTTTGTCGGTGGAAGCTTGGATAAGCCTCCAAAAGCCTCATTTTGCTTTCTCATGCCTTCCTCTTCCACCCACATCATTTTCTTTCTCCTTTCTCCACCAAGGTTAAGGTGCTTTTGTTAGGTAAGTATAAGTTTTAGTTATGAATTTTGGGTAGTTTAAATTAGTGAGATTTGATTTTAATTCTTTGATTTACAAGATTTTTGGGTATTAAACTTTTATTAGAAATATCCTTAATTTTGGAGCTTATATGGCAAAGATAGTGAGTTAGTCCTTTCTATTGTTTGATTTGGATGTGATTTTTGCTGCAGGAATTAGAAGGAAATTGTATTATTTTGCGAATTACTGTTCATGATTACTGTTCATGATTACTGTTCATGATTACTGTTTATAATTACTGTTCACGATTACTGTTCACAATTACTGCTCATGATTACTGTTCACGATTACTGTTCATGCATTATGCTTTGATATCTTCCAATAGGAAATCCTAATATTATTTTGGACATATTATGAATTTGTTTGACATGTGTATGTGTTTGTGGCTATGGAGTAAGTGGACCTAAGCTTAAAGCTTGGGGTATTCAGTGGACCCTTCGGGGTATTTAGTGGACCTCTGCACAGTAGGGTTAGTACCGTGATTAGCTCCGGTACAGTGTTGCTAGCACACCTCAGTGGACTCCATAGCATTGTGTGATTTTCGATTTTATGCATTGCGCTTGTGACATCATATTTGTGAGCATAAGATTTTAGTATATGAATTCAATTTAGACATTTGTGCTTATGATTTGAGAATTATAATATTATGTGATTTGATTTTGTTGTGTCATATGCTCTTTGTGTGGATAGGTCTAAGGGTCTTAGAACCGAAGTTTATAGCTTAAGCTTATTACTTACTGGGCTGTGAGCTCATAAAATCCCCCTCCCATTTCAGATCAGTAGATCGAGGTAGCAGCATCTCGGTTTAGGAGCTTTTGGCACGGGACTCGCATGTTCGTTGTATGTACAAGCTAGGGCCTCGTGTTTTCAATAGGGAGGCAAATCGATATCTTACCAAAACCATGATTCAACTTTTGTTTTTTTGAAAAGCTTTGAAGAAGAATTTGCCTCGTATAATTTGTGTAAATTAGCTTTATGTATAAAACTTTTAAATTAATTATAAATGAGTTTAGCTTGACTTATTTTATAACTTTGAATATTTTGGCATTTTCCAATATATATATATTGACTTGTTAAAGTGGTTTTCCTTTACAGGTATTTATGATTTTCTTTTTCAAAAGTGTTTTTATTTCTGCTGCAATCCTTTATTATAAATCTTATTTTCGAACTCTTCTAGGACTAAGGGTGCCTAGGGAGGTGTATTACAGATTCAGGTAGCCCCAATCCCAGCACTCGGGGGGCAAGGGAATCAGCCTCATCCTAACATTCAACAACAGAATTTCTTCATGGGTGAAGGACAAAGCCAGCATGAACCAATGGAGGCTGCTGCTCCTGTTGCAGACCATGGCCATCAATCTCAGCATAGGTATGTTCCGCCAAGTAGGAGGGGATATGTGGTCCTCATCATCAACCCTACCCAAGGGATTTTTTCCAGCCACATGTTCCTCCAGCCCAGCCGGTACAGCGCGGTCTGCAGAATCACCCAGCTCAATTATTCAATAGAGATCAGCTAATAGATCTGGTACAAGAAACCTATGGACCAGCCTTGAGACCATTGGTGCGTCCAGCCTACAGGAAGCCTTATCCAGACATCATTGATTATGAAAATCCTTTTCCAAGGGGTTTTAAAGTGCCTGAGTTCACTTTATTTTTTGGTGAGGTTGGTCAGTCCACTATTGAACATATTGGACGCTTCACAATACAATGTGGAGAGGCGTCTGGAGATGATAACTTGAAACTCAGACTGTTCCCTAGCTCTTTGATTGCGACAGCCTTTACATGGTACCTCAGTCTGCCTCAAAATTCAGTTTACTCTTGGAGGCAAATTGAGGACTTGTTTCATACTCAATTCTATCGTTGTGGACCGGAAGTGTCTATGGTAGACTTGTCGAGGTTAGCCCAAAAGCCTGGAGAATTGTCTGAGGCATTCCTTGCGAGATTCCTGAGAGCCAGACTGAAATGTAGAGTTGCACTGCCAGAACAAGAATTTGTCAAGCTGGCTCAGAATGGTTTGGACATTGAGCTCCGAAAGAAATTTGAGGGGATGGAATTCCGAGACTTCTATGAATTGTCTTATAAAGTGGCTCGGTATGAAAATCTGCTGAAAGAAGATGTTCAAAAGAAGGCTGCATCACATGGAATTTATTACAGTGACCCTAATTTTGATCTTGATGTGGCTGAGGTGGTTACAGACAAGCCTGTTGTTTGCCTAGACCTTGTCAAACCAACTCACCAGCCTGAGACGTCTGTGAGACGTTATGTTGGTGAGGCTGGAAAACAGTATACTTTTGATGTGTCAAAAGCTAGTGATATATTTGACCACCTTAAAGAGAGTGGTCTGATTAAGCTGCCGCCGGGACATCAAATCCCGACAGCGACTGAAATCGGAGCTAGAGATTATTGCAAATTTCATAATTCTTGGAAGCATTCTACTGATAATTGTCTTATTTTTCGTAATGTCTTGCAAGAAAAGATTGATAAGGGTATCTTGAAATTTCCAGACAAAGCGAAGGAAACCATGGGAGTGGATGCAGACCCTTTTCCAACTATGTCTGTCGGCGTGAATGTTGCAGACCTCAGGAGTATTGCCAGAAATCGTAGTCTGCCTTATGCTCAAAGGAACCTTGCTGCTGAAGACTTGAGGTGGGTGCTTGAGGCACAGAGATCCAGACATAGCAGGAGCATCAGGTCAGACCAACAGAGGCTCGGGGGGCAAGGAAGGATCACCGTGACCAGGAACTTTAGTCCAGAAGGTGCCAGACGTTACTCAACTGGTACCAGATCTCCAAGGATGGTCAAGCCGCCACTTAAGTCACCTTTCAGACGGTGGGAGAAAGTCAGTCATCCTAAGTTTCCAGCCCAGAATCCCAGAACCTTGAGGCGCAAACTGCAACGCAAGAGGGCTGAAGAGCGAAAAAGGCAATAGCAGCAGGTGGAGGCTGAGGGAAGTTCATCTCGCAGACCATGCCAACCTACCAAAAGGAATATGGTCTGGGTGAGAAAAGAGAAAAAGGAGGCTGTAACCCAGACTCTACAGAAGGAGGATGACCAATCTTCAGCCTCTCCAAAGGTGGCATCTGTCATTGTGAGTCCAGACGGAGTTTTGAAAGCAACTTTTGAAGCACAATAACAGTCTGGGAATCGTGGAGCTGAATCAAAAGAAGATGGCACTATTCATTTTGGGGAATTCTTAGTGAATTTGTCATGTCTGGTGCTGACATT